CGGTCCCGGCTCGGCCCGGCCCGCTCGCCCAGTCCCGACAGCCCCGGCGCGCACCTGCCTTTGCTGTGCCTGCCTCTTCTCCGCCTCGGCCCGACGGCCCCGCCATCCCCGGGGTCCCGCGGTCTTGCGTCCGGTCACGTCTTGAGCCCCCCGGCTTTGGCCGGTTTCCCTTCGCCTCCAGCAGCGGCCCGGCTCACGTCGACCGCGCACAGCCCCGGGGGCCCGAGCCTCGGATCCCAGCGGCAGCCGGGAGGGGGTCGGAGGGGAGGCGAGGCCGCGCCGGCTGCCCCTGCGCCGCCCCTCCCCGGGGTCCCCTCCCGGGGCCCCCCACCATGTCCCCAGCTCCTCTGCGCTCCCCCCTGTCCTCTGAGGCCGCCGTCGAGGCTTCGTCACCCCCTCCCCGCCGCCCCGCCGGCGGCCCAGCGCTTAGCACCAGCTCCGTTTCCACCCCTCCCAGGGTCGGCCAGCCGCGGGCCGGGCGGGGGCCGGATGCGGGCGCAGGACAGGACCGCGGGTCCTGGGCCGCCCGCGCGGGGCACGCACGTCCCGAGGCCTGTCAAGCCGCAGACCGCCCAGCGCTGGCGGCTCAGCCTGTAATCGCAGCTGCTCAGGGGGTTGCCATCTGAGCACAGCCGTCGGAAGCCAGCCTGGACAGACCAAACGTGACACTCTTGTCTCAAACTAGCCAGCAAAAAGCCGGAGGTGGAGGCGTGGCTCAGGCCCAAACCTAGAGCGAGAAAGCTAAGCAGAACCACAGGGCCCCGAGTTTAAGCCTTGCGGGGTGGGACCGAGAGAGGAGAGAGAGAGGCCCTTGCAGGACTCTGCTCGTGGTGGAGTCCAGATTTCAAAGACTGGAAGTAGGGGAGGGCCTGCGCCCCTGGGGTACTTGGAGGCACAGCCATGGCGGGGGGGGGGGTGCAGGGCACACTGGAGTGTGTCCAGTGGACAGCTGTATAGAGCTAGAGTAATGGAGGGGACACTTGGCAACTTTTGAGGGGCCTTTTTGTTTGGGAGCCGGTTGCAATCATACAAGTGAAAGACACTGGTAGCCAGCAGTGCTGCCGAGAATGGCAGAGAGAGCGGGGAACGGAGTTTGAATCGTGGTCAGATGCTGAAGACAGAATGAATAGGTTAAGAGTCAAGAATAGCTTGGTGCAGGGCTGCCTGTGACCTCCCCTCCCCCTGCCCTAGAGGGAGGGCGGAGAGCTGCTGAGCCCTGGTTGGGGGGGAAGGCAGTAGGCTGGGGAGGGCAGGATGCTCCTGTGTGGGACGTGCTAAGCTCAAGGCTGTTCAAGGTGTGAGGCAGATGGACAGGGGCACTGGACCAGGTGAGACGTCCAGGCTGGAGCTTGACCTGTGGTGTGGTCAGTGGGAAGATGAAATTTACAACTTGAGATAAGATAGACTGAATCTCTGAGAAGAGAGGGCTGAATCTCTGAGGAGGGAGGGGGAGAGAGAGAGGGCAGTCAGATGGGGCTTGACCTGGGTCCTCGAGCCTCCAACACGGGCAGGAGGAAGGCTGAGGAGACAGGAAGGGTACATGCTGAGCTAGGAGGGAAACGGAATGTGGGACCCAGGGGAAAAAGAACAGCTGAGAGCTGCCACTATCTGAGGACTGAGCATGGAGCCATCCATGTCCTTTCCCAGAGCCAGCTGCCCCTCATCTGCTCCTAGCCCTGTCCTCCTCCTCCAGGCCCAAGACCCCGGGCAGCAACCACAGACCCTTTCTCTAGGCCCCTTCCAGTCTCCATACCCTAGTCCTGGACACAGCATGGAGCCATGCAGTTGCTTTGTCCCTGCCTTCTCCTCCCCTCCCCTCTTCTTCTCTCCCTTCCCCTCTCTTCCCTTCCCCTCTTTCTTTCAGTACCAGTACTAGAACTGGCCTAGGCACTGCCCCTTAGCTTTTTTGCATATATATAAACGTCTGTGTGTGTGCCAGACCTCGGGCATGAACTCAGGGCCTGTCCCTCCTGTCCCTGACCTTTTTGGCTCAAGGCTAAGTGCTCTACCACTTGAGCCACAGCTCCACTTCCACCTTTTTGGGGGGAAGTTCATTGAAGAGTCTCACGGACTACTTTCCTGCCTGGGCTGGTTTTGAACTGTGATCCTCAGATCTCAGTCTGCTGAGTAGCTAGGATTACATACATGAACCACTAGCACCTTGCTGACTTACTAAAAATGTAAAGCCCGGAACAAGGATTCTGGCGTGCAAGTAGACCATACCCAGGAGCCCGAAAGGGTCTAGCCCACTTTAAGCATCTACTCTACCCAAGTCTGGTCTCTCTGGGTAGGGCCTAGGGTGACTGAAATCACCTTCCTGTACTGACCATGAGAAATCCTGGTCCTTCAGCTCTACTGCCTTGAACGTGGTAGACACCGAATTACCCCAAAGAATGAAAAGATGTTAAACCATAAAGCCCTAAGCAAGAACAGAAGGGCCTGCTGTCATTAGGGAATAGATATTTTTTTTGGGGGGGGTCCGGTCATGGGCCTGAACTCTGGGCCTGAGCGCTGTCCCTCAGCTCTTCAGCTCAAGGCTAGCACTCTACCATTTGAGCCACAGCGCCACTTCCGGCTTTTTTTCTGGTTATGTGGTGCTAAGGAATCGAACTCAGGGCCTTATGCATGCAAGGCAAGCGCTCTACCACTGAGCCACCTCCCAACCCCCAGATATTATTATTATTTTTTTTTTTTTTTTTTGTCGGTTGTGGGGCTTGAACTCTGGGCCTGGGCGCTGTCCCTCAGCTCTTCAGCTCAAGGCGAGCGCTCTACCACTTGAGCTACAGCGCCACTTCCGTTTTTCTGGTGGTTTATTGGAGATAGGAGTCCCACGGTCTCTCCTGCCCGGGCTGGCTTTGAACCGCGATCCTCAGATCTCAGCCTCCTGAGTAGCTAGGATTACAGGCGTGAGCCACCAGCGCCCGGCTTAGATATTATTTTTTTAAAGGATCTTATTTGTCAATTTGAAGAGAGGATTGATTATTTTAAATAGCTCTCTAAAGTGAAAATCTATATGAGCTTTGGAAATATCTTGATACTTTTTACTTTAGAAAATAATGCATGCTCATAGTTTAAAAGAGGCAAAAGAATGGATGAAGAAAGGAAGAAGACATTGTAAAACAATACAGAAAACATACAAACATACAAACTAGCTCTTCCATCCACGATTCCGTCCCAACCCCTGAGATAACTACTAAGAACTCTTTTTGTGTACGTTTCCAGACTTCACTATGCATGAGCATCGAATTGGGGTTCCTGCTATGCACAAATCCTCCACAGCTTGCTTGTTTTCCCTTCCTCTGCTTTCCATGATTTCCATAGCAGCACCTAGAAACCCAAGCTTCATTATGTGACTGTAACCCCTTTGTACATCACTTTATAATAACAATAAAAATAATAAAAATCTGTACTTAAGGCAAATGGCTACATGTGGTTGCTTTGTGTTGATTCGATTGGTAAGCACTTATCCCTTCCTCCAGCTTTTGACAATTATTCACAATAAACAGCCTCAGAAGTTGTTTACATCCTTGATCAAGTACAACCACAGAATCATTTCCTAGACTTGTAGTTGCTGGGGAAGAAAAGCTATGCACTGCTGCAACTTTTCTAGATCCTTTTCTTTTTTTCTCTTTTTCAGGCCCGTGATCTGGATTCAAACTCAGTACCTGATGCTTTCGCTTTTTGGCTAGCACTCTACCACCGAGCCACGCCTCCAGCCCCACTTTCTAGACTGTTTTCTAAAGGACTGCTCTATGTTGACCAGCAGCTTTTACTTGGCTCCTGTATTGGATGAAAAACAGTATCTTATTTTGGTTTGCATTTTTTGAAGGGTGAGGTTTGGCATCTTTTGTGTGGCAACAACCTTTTAAAGCTTATGGGTTTCTGCTGCTACTGTCTGTAATCCCTTCTCTCTGGGGCTCAGGAAAAGGAACGAGCTGGAGGGTCCTGGGACCCGCCATTCCCACACCCCATGCTTCTAGTCAGAACCATTAGAGTTTACAGGCTGAACTCTGAGCTCCTTCGTGAGCACCCCGACCCTCTCCCTCTGCTCACCCACGTGACTTTCCATGTGGATGTCTCAGGGAAAGTCCGAGCTGCCCCGGGCCGCTGTCCATGTCCCTGAACATGTCCTGGATTCCAGGCCCTCCTTCCTTGGCTGTTTCACTCTTCCTTTAAGTGTAAGGTACCTCCATCTTCCCTTTGCCAAACCACACCTCTCTGCTTTCTTCTTAATTTACTTGTTTGTGGTTTTTGAGAGAGGAATTTTAAGTCAAACAGTTCTGGATTCAAATTCCAGGCCAGCTTATTTTCGCCTTGAACGGTTTATTCCCCTGCCGGCCCTCGCGGTCCCATCCGGACAAGGGCAGGCGTTGTGGACTAACTAGAATGATGGACCTCAAGGACGCCCCCCCCCCCCCCGGGCCTGGCGCACACAGATCGCAGCTCACTTCCATTGTCTCTGAAGATTAGGAGCGGGCATCAGGCGGAGCTCAGTACAAGCCGATGAGCCACACTCGGGAGAGCAGGGTTGGGAGAGATGAGGGAGAGGACAGAAGGGGCGATATTGTCCAGGATGCAATGTGCTCATAAATGACACGTTGGATGGAAAATGAAGAGGCCACTTCTTCATGTGCTTCTGCACTGAGTGGATTACCTCACAGGCCCGACGCCCATTTGGAGGGCTCATCATGCCAGCTGGGATGGCTGACAGGCTGCAGGATGGAGAGACGATGGCTGTGCCCTGCCCTGGTGGCCTGGAGAGCCGCCCCGCCCGCCTCATCTGCGCCGTGGAGCGTGTCGCCTGCTTTGGCTCAGCGAGATGAAGTCTTTCCACTTCGGAGAATAGGGCGTGAGAAGCAAGGTAGGAACTCCACCCTACTCCAGCCTGGCACTTAACACGTTGTTTAACCCTGTGACTCAGTTTCCTCAAAGGTGAACTCTTGGATAATCATTTTTTCCTCCCTCCTTTTCTCTCTTTCTTCTTCCTTTCTTTCTAGGGATTAGGGATTGAATTCAGAGCTTCATGTTTGCTTTGCAGGTGGTGTACCTCTGAGCCATGTCCCCAGCCCTTTTTTGTGCCAATCCTGGGGCTTGAACTCAGGGCCT